ATAAAATCTTTAGATTCAGGAACATCTTTCGGTATCGGTCAAAGCAGAAAAAGTCTGAAAATGTAAGGAATTTGAAGATTTTATTTACCACACCGAACTTACAGTCTTTGTGTCATGTCCTGCCTCCTGCACTCTATCTCCCGCCTAACAGACTGGAGTTTTTCCAGTAAGTGAGGGAGTTCATTTGATAAAATACATTTTGACAAAGTGTTGGTGGGATGTTGACTTGGTGCATGTGAACCGCTTTTGTACAGCATGTACATTGTGTGCTGTCATGAATCTAATGAGTCTTAAATAAAGAATAGGGTACACAGTGTCTTAGCATGTCTGTGTGTACGTGTGAGTCCACGTGAATAGATTTGAACTCAAGGTACAGACTCATGTTCAGCTGCATAATCAGCTGCTGAATTTTTCATCAGACCTTTACAAAATAATCTTAAACCAAGTGCCATATGTTATGGGAATAATTCCCAAAACTTTAAGAATGTAGAGTCGACATTTACATTTTTTCCCTTTTTTCTCACTTTTAGTCAAATCCCTCAAAATAGGCACAGCACGTAGACCATGTGAAATTGTTGTTTCGGTTAACAGGAAATGAATATAACATTTCACACTGTCAACGAGTCAACATGTTCCAAGCGTAGCCTGTTCCAAGTCTTAACAGAGCAAAGTATTTTCAGCAGAGTGGTCAGCTCCAGCAAACCGTTCTTCTCTATGTGAGTGGGGAAACTCTGACAGGCAATCAAAGCCCACTACAAAAGGAGAATGTAAAAACAACAAAAAATGAATCCCCACGAATGCAAATAGCTTATTGCTAAATTGTTTTGGTCTGGCTATAAGCATTGCCAAAAAGAGGTCTTGAAGTGGGATGGCGTGAAAGCGAGAGATGGAAGGATGGGGTTTCTGTCGCAATGGAGAGCTGAATTATGGGTAGGTTGATTGACATGGTAGCATGTGAAATTGTTTTTGTCAGGGAATTGGTTACAAGATATTTCCCATTCCAATACATCATCAGATACAGACAATATAAAACAGAGTCAGATTATGACGGATGCAGAGTAATTAGTCTCTCTTCATTCAGTTATGAATAAATATGATTACAAGTCCTGCTCAGCTCCTCTGTAATTTCACACAACACCCCGTCTTCTCACAATTCACAGCCTTTAGAATGAGTTGGTGACTGAAACAAGCATTATAGCCCGGAGTCAGCTGCCAAGGGTCCAAACTTTCGTGAATGTAACTGTTTTAATGCCGTCTTTTAGAATTTTGTAGGACAAAATGAACTTTAGAACACTTTTTTTGTACAGCATTAGTGTCGTGCAAATCTTTTAAAGGTCAGCACTTTAAATTATCTTCAGAGAACGGTGAAACGCTCATCGGAGTGTAGGATATAGGATATCACTCCGATGAGCGTTTCCAACATTCTCATGTTACTTGAAAAAATACACAGAGCAATAATCTGATTTATTTCCTCCCTTTTCAAAACAAATCAGATATGTCTGCTCCTCCGAGACACTTGTGTGCCTCTCGAAGAGGTTCCAGTCTGGGTTACACAACATTGGTGCCAGTGGTTCGTTATCGTCTGAGCAGGCGCTGCTATCTCTGACACTGCACAAGATTGATGGCCTCTTCAAGGTGCTGGACCTGCCGGGAAGCACCAGATACTCTCTCTGAAAGTCCACCAGAACTGATTTATTGTGAGATATAGACAAGATCTAAAGCCAGGCAATTTGTAGAAGACATTCTGTAGTTTGCTTTCAAGGTTTGGCAACTATTGAGGGAGTTTTTGTGTTTCCTTGAGTTAAAAACTTACCAAATCATGTTATTTTTGAAGAAAGTAAGGAAGTACAGCTGTTAAACGCTGAACTACGTGAATGGCACACATCAACTCTCCTTAGTGCACATAGGAAAAATTGTAAATCTTATTATGACCCTCAGATTCCATATCAGCATGTCTTAGTGATGGACGATGGCAGACTTCTCTACCACCACAGCCTCCACACCCTTCTCACTCCACTCTATTAACATCAAAGTACTTCATGCATTGGCAGTCAGTATTGCTATTTTAACATAAATCATTGGAGACTGGGTTCCTCAGTTTCCATACCAACCAAAAAATGACCACTTAATCACAACTAATATAAGTGACTATGTCAGACTGTGATGAAAACTCTCATTCATGGACAAAAACCACATGCTCACGTCCACACGTGTTCTCATACGTAACATCACGGATGACTTCCTCCTGCACTTCCTGAGAGTAATTCTTTGTTATATGGAAAGAAATGAAGCAAATGGAAACGCATATTGTGTTATTTTATATCAAAGGTCCTCTCCTTGCCACCGCTCCAAAACATAATCCCGGCACAGACAACACAAAAAGCACTAACCGGCACGCCCTACAGAAATGACTGGAGTAATTGTTTATTGAAAAGGGTCATTTCACATGTCCCAATGATGGTTGCGTGACGTTTTCTTCCAAATCATGAATTGAAAGGACACTAATGTTGGATGCCATTGATGTGTTAACAGTTTAAAACAGGATACTGGACTTAAAGGTGGCACGACTTGATTATAATGTCAACTGGAACATTATTATAACTCCTGCTCAGTGTTTATGTCTATGACATAATTCCACAGGGGGGTTCAACAGAGGGGAAACATGTTGTGAGCTAACAAATGGAACATCCCTCATACACTGTGGAATACATTACACTGAATCAGAAGGCATATTACAACCATTTCCATTTAGTTTTGGACTCAATTGACTTGTATGTACATTGCAATGTTCCCTGGTGACAGCATGACAGTCTTTTCAAAACATGGAGCCTTTATTCAGGGAGGGATTAGGATTATATTGTATTGTCAGGCAAATTTAGGTTCAAATTACTGCAAAGTTTTTCAACAAATTAGGGCCAAATATCTTAAACTGTGGTATAAATATGCTACTGTGAGAAGAGAGAGGAGAGACTATTTGTGGACTTTTGGGCTTGGACGTTGTTTGACGTTTTGGAAATGTCACCTTTGTCCGTCCAATCTGCTGAAAAAGTTGATTCATAATTACTTCGCATTAGTTTATTTTTTTCCCATGCAATATGTTGTTTCTTGTTATTCACAGAAAAATGTGACATACTTCCATTTTTCTCGCAACATGAATAATGATTAGCTTTGATGTTTGATCCTTGGTCAGAACGAAGAGCACACAGAATTACAGTCACATTATTTGTCTGCAACATTTTTGAATGTAGCAGTGGTCAGTGTGTTGGTGTTGAGGTCAGGAAAAGACTGGCCCTATACTGGCCTTGTTCTGTGTTTATGACGGATACTTTAAAGGAGATTTTTTTGTAGAATTGCATTTCACTGTGTGTCAACTACCAAACAATAACTGCAGTTTGCATTTCAAACTTTGAGCAGAGGAGAGGGGGTTTTGGATAGAGTGCTGTGCTGTTTCTGGTGGTAGCGGAGAGAACCTTCTGGGAGGTCACGCTGTGGCTCTGTGTACGTGCAGAATGTGAATAATCTCAGCCTGTACACTTTCTGTTTTCCTTTGAGGAGTGAAACTCGGCAGGTCGAGGGCTGCGGGTGACTCGGGGTGAAAGGGAGTCTTTCAGCTGGACACATTTCAAGGATGTTTTGGGAAGCAGTGATGGAAACGGGGGGGGGGGGAGAGGTGGCCCATTCCCCCCCTAGGGTCCTTGTGGTGTCAGAGCAAAGAAAGAGAGGAAGGGGGAGTCTGTTGTAACACAGAATGTCTTCAGCCTGCTCTGTATTAACCTCAGTGAAAACAAGCCTCTACAGAGTTCAGCCACAGTGACACACTCTGGAGCATTCGACCACTCACCGAGGACATGCTCCCTAGATCCCTAAGGAAGGGGAGATAAAAGCAACAGGGTGGGAATTATGAGCTGCTAACCCACACCTAAACTAATATTTATGTACCATACTTACAGCACGGATAAATGTTGAAAATTGCTCGGTTTCGGTTTTCCCAAAATAAGCAAAGTAAGTCAGGTGGAACACTTTTTGACTCTGTTTGATTAAATCCTATGATACTGAAGGTATTACGAGAAAGCTTACTCACCATGTCGGACACTAATAAAAACACAAAGGTGAATCATGTCAGGTTGAATGCCTGTGAGTGAGCAGCATTCGAAAGCCATGAAAAATATCTGATAAAAAACATTTAGTGGAAAAAGTACCTTGATCTTACGAAAGCAAAAGTACCTACAACAGTAGGTTGTAAATAGTTAATTGCCTGCTCCTTAATGCCAACATTGTAATGTTTATATCTCTAATCTTTATAATTTCATACTTTGTATTACTTCTAAATTCAGTTAAAGGAAACTATGCAGTATATTGATACATGGGAGATAACACTGACCTGGCTTAAACTGAATGTGTTAAATATTGACGAGTGAACCTTGTGGCTGCCTACTGTTGCCGGTACTGATGTACTGAGTACACAGCGTGCTTGTAAGGGGTGAAGAACAAGAGCATGCTATAAGCACTCATTCCTACCAATGTCCGTTAAACTTCTTAACATTGACAGGAAATGAAATGTAGTCGAAGTCAAATGTAATGAAATGTACTTTTTTTTAAATGTTGGCCATGAGGGTTGTGCAATAGGTCGCCATTGTCAGTATGTGCGTCTGTGTGTATTGTGTTTGTTCAAACGGTGTATGATTGATGATATGTGTATGTCTCTTAAATGTCCACTATGTTTGTATATTATGTACATGTATGCGGAACTGCTGGACGGAGCCCAGAACGAATTTCCTTACGGGGACAATAAAGTATATCGTATCGTATCATATCGTATCGTATGCAGGGCCTGTTACCCATATTAATCTTTCACAACAACACATCAGGATCTATTATTATCGCTTTGACCTCTCTGGCCTCTGCGATTTCAACATTATGACTAATATACCCTTAAGATTCATTTAGAAATCAATACAACATATGTATTGTGCATTGTAGAGCACATGGGATCACAATGGGTTATATTTATTTTTAATACATCATATGGCCATTCTATACAGCTTATTATTCACACCAGATCAATCCAGTTGCACAGTGATTTTTTATGTGTAGTAAAGGAAGGAGGACAGTATAACCAACAATTAAATAAGTGACTTTTAGACATGAGTTTTTAACAGAATTCAACATTATAATGCATGATTTTGGAGTACATCAACACAGATGACTTGCACGCTGTATAAACTCAAACATGAGAAGGTTCAATGCACAGAAAGATTAATGAGTGTCTGGGTGAATTACTGGTCAGTAGAGACCACACAGCTGGCACAGGATTTTTCATCATCAGCGAGAAAAACTAAATGCTTAAAGTCAAACTTATTCCTCAGCACTGGTTTATATTGCAATTTGGGGTGACTCCACTAAATACCCTCATAATATGCATAACAATACATACTCATGGTTTATTATGAATTAAGGTTTTGGGCATATACATCAAAAGCTTTTATTACATTATTTGTTTTTCTTACATGTTGAGGCAGCTATATTTCGTTTGTTTTAGTCAAGAGTTGAGGAATAACATTTGCATTTGAAGTCCAGATAATAGTGAGAACACAATATTGTCACAATTTTAGCAGCTGAAGTAAGGAAGCTTATCATTTCCTATTTAGGTTCATCAAAGCTTATAACACAAAAGTCCTTTTGATACAAGGCAAATATATATATTTCTTTAGAACACGTACCTTATATTGTACCTTATACCTTATTTATATATTGGTTTTTCCTTAACTGGACAAGCAGTTTCACAAGTTTTATTTCCCCCTAACTTTGGCAGTGATCTTGTAGTTTAACGGTTTTAGTGTTAAACCATAGGAGCAGTTTAAAGACAGGTCATCATTATCACGTTTTTCAAATCTGCATTGGTGGAGTAGGATTGCAAAGAACATAAATATCTCAACTTTGGCAATCTGGTTCCCAATACATCTTCTCTTCCCTGCTGAGAAGATCATAACATTGTTGGTGATATCCTTGTCAAGGCAGCCCTTTTCATCTAGAAAGCGCAAGGGGTCAAAGATATGTGGATCCTTCCACTTCAGGGGGTCGTGATTAATGGACCACTGATTGACGAAGACCACTGTGTCTTTGGGGATGTGAAGACCTTCGATGGTGACGTCTGAGGTTGTGCAGTGGGGGATGGTGATAGGGACGAAGCTGGTGAAGCGCATGGTTTCGTAGATGAAGGCGTCCAGGTAGGTCAGACTGTTTCTGTCTTCGACAGATGGCAACCTGTCCCGCCCAACCACTTTGTCAATAAGCTCGTGAAGTTTAGTTTGCATGTCTGGGTGTTTAGCCAGCAGAAGGAGAATCCAGTTAAGAGCGGTAGAGACGGTATCCAAACCTGCGCCAATCAGATCCGACACCGTCCCCTCAGTGTGACCTTTGGTGAGGCCATTGTCATTGTCAGCCTTATCAATCACGCCAATGATGGCATCACTCATATCCCTTGTTACCTCTGGATCAAATGTCTCTCTGTGCTCATCCACCTTGTTCTGGATAAACCCAAAAAACTCTTTATTCAAGTCTGTGAAGTTCTTAAACATGCTGCGGACTGGATTAGGGAAAGACTGAAGCCATAGCATCACATCTACCAAGCTGCCAGCTCCTACTGTCTTTCCAAAGTCTTCTACCCTCTGTAACAAGGATCTGAACTCAACGTCATCATGTCCATAACGTTTTCCAAAGCACAAGGCACAAATCACATTGGCTGTCAGCTCCTGAGCGGGGTTGAAATACTGGCCCTGAGCACCGAGTTTAAGGAAAATCTCCACTAGCTCTGTGGCTTCAGCCACAATTTGCTGCTCAAAGGCTTTTTTGGTCTGGTTGTTGGCAGAGGAGAATGCTCTGATCGTTGATTGAGCAATTTTCCTGTGGATCTTCCACTGTTTGCTGTAATTGGAGAAAGTCATACTTTTCCCCCCTGAAATAGCCTGAAAAGAGACAAAGTTTGGTTTGCCTGCAAACTCTGTGCTGTGCTGTACGAGAGCCTCACGTATTGCCCTGTCTCCATTCAGAACCACAACGTCACTGCAGCCCAGCCGTATCTGGTACACGTTGCCGTATTTTTTGGCAAGCTTGGCGAAGGTGATGTGAGGCATCTGGCCCAGCTGCATGGCGTTGCCCACCACCGGCCAGGCGAAGGGTCCAGGCAGTCTTTTCTTGAGCCTGAAGTTCCTGACCCACAGACAGGCTTCCAGGCAGAAGAGGAACACTAAGGAGGCGACAAGAGCAGGCTGGACCTGTCCACTCCATTCCCTGATGATGCTGCTGCCCTTCACACCAAACTCTGAGTCCATTTGAGCCATTGTGTTTTCCTCTAGGTAATCTATCATCAACTGTGTCCAATAAAAAAGGACATTTTAACTAAAAGTGGCAGTCCATTTCAAGTGCTTCCTCTTGTTGCGAGCTTACATGCATAAAAACAATCCTTTAAATGTCTCAATCTACATTAAGAAAAGACTCACATGCTGCCTCACCCTCCGTCACAGAAGCTAGTGAGAAAGGCTCGATCAGGTTCAAGTCTTAACACTTCGCTTATATGTATCTCTACGGTGGGAGGGGTCAGCGACTCAGGTGTTTTTTTATTATCTCTCCCCTCCTATTTTTGACAACAGTCTGATGACCTTAGTCCCATTCCCACACAGGCCCCATTACAGCAGCGTCCCTTGTTGGATAAGGGAAACGAGAACCGCTACTTAAAAGGTCCTGTTGCAAAAAAAGCACAGATTTATTGCCAAAGAAAAAACAGAGATTACCATGACACTTTTAAAAAGATAAACAACTGTTCATGCTCCTGTGTGCCCTGATTGGTATTTATCACAAACTATCTTATTTAAAGTTGTTAATGCCCAAAAAGGACGCACTTTAGCTATGTTACTGAATGGATGGATGGCTTATAGTGTAAGTAATGGACAGTAAACTGGGGTTGATTGTGTTTGCCTCAGGGGTTAGATGATTATGCTGTTTCCTATGGACTTTCCATGGCCATTTTAAACATGATTTGGTTTATTTTATTTACAGCCAAACTGTTCATTATAACCATACAGGGAAAATTCTCTGAGATATCACCATTAATGCTGAGGGATCCAAACTCATAATGGATACAAACATCACAAATTATTATGCTTCATAAAAAGATATGCACAACGTTATTGTTGGCCCTTTAAACAAAGGGTTATTGAGATAATGTAGCTGTTATTGTTATGGCTGCAAATATTTGTAGAGAGATTACAAAAAAAAGGAGTTCAGCTATAAATCTGCTTCCTTAAGTCTGCGCTTGTGCAACAAAATAAATAACTTTTTTTTTGTAAACATCCACTTTGTTTTAGTGATGTTCAGCCACAAGTGGTGTATTCCAGAGGTTTCTATTTTTGTAACAATGAGTAATGACAGACATCTAAACAGTGGTGGTGCCTAATATCTCAGTGTTGGCACAACTCTGACAGTGCCTGCGTTAGCTAAGAAGTGCTTTGAGACGGAGACATTTATTCATAGTCAGACGTTAAACATGAGATTTTAGTTTATTCTAAAATCTAAAGGTTATGGTGACAATTAAAGAGGACACGTTGAGCATTGACAATTCACTTTATTACGGTAATTTCATATATAGCTTATTGTTCCATATTTCCATCATATAAAGCCAACACATTGATAACAAAACATCCTCTATGAGGAATAATTCAGGGTAAGAGATAGATCCCTTGGGAATTCTATCATCAATTCCTGAAAACAGAGGCCTAAAGAGAGTGCAGTGACATCCATGTAGTTTTAAAAAAGGGACTTTTGTAAACAAGCATGTTTTTGAGAATGCCGCATGAGTAAAATACATTTGCTGCAGATGTTGGGTTATTGTTTGTACTGTTGAGACTGGTGTGGTTGGCACAGGGGAACTGCAGTGCTTATACAGTAAAACTGAACCTTGGTGCATTAAGTTTGTGAAGCGTTCATGGTTCATGGCAATGTTTCCTCCTCTTTCTTTAGACTGGGATGGATGTCCCTTGATGGAAGACTTCCTTCTTCACAAATGCCCGCCTTTTTCCTCCACTTGGACCAGCATTCTTTGTTTAATGTGTTCATATGCTTTGAGTACAGTAGATAGTGAAAAACATTAAACATCATTACATTTATTGTCATACCTGAAATTATAAAAAAATATTTTGCAGCTGCTTTACGTGGCATAGGTTGAATATATTTCTACATATTACAAATGAGAACACAATGTCATCAACTGACTTAATAACATTCACAAGCATTTCATATACATTTATATTAGTTTAAATTGACATTAAGGGGAAAGTAGTAATTTCCTGCACCCATACCATACATGTACATGCGCAATAGTAGACTTAAACAAGCACAAATCTCAGAATAATGTACAAAAACTCACCAAGTATGGAATATTTTGTGAAGCAGTATTTTGATTAATTTGCATTGAACAGTCTATAAGCTTGAATTCTACCTGTAGGTAATATAACATATTTGACATCATATCCTCAGACCTGCACCAACAATAATTCAATACAGACTGCTTTAAGACACCCAGTTAATATAATCTTTAAATATGAAAATTACACAACAGTAGGATTTAGTGCAGGTTACTCACTGTTTGATTTCATTGGTGAAATAAAAGTGTTTGCTGGCCTTGAGTCGCAGTAAGGGGACATGGTGTTCATGCTGGGGAAACTAAGCCGAGCAGCTTCCCCCTGAGCTTGGCGCTGACACAGAACTGGAGGGGCTTCAGCGTGAGCCCAAAGGAGCAGTCAAGAGAAAGGGGCACAGAGGGGTCACTCTCAAAGCTGCACTGGTGCAGCAGGACGGCTGTGAATAAAAACACTTCCACCTTTGCGATCTGGTCGCCGATGCAGCGTCTTTTACCCGTTGAAAAAATCATCACACCGTTTGTTATGTCCTTATCTAGGGCCCCGTTTTCATCAAGGAAGCGAGCAGGATTAAAAATGTGAGGGTCCTTCCACTTCAGGGGGTCGTGGTTGACGGACCACTGATTGATGAAGACCACTGTGTCTTTGGGGATGTGGAGACCTTCGATGGTGACGTCTGAGGTTGTGGAGTGTGGGATGGTGACGGGGACGAAGCTGGTGAAGCGCATAATCTCGTAGATGAAGGCGTCCAGGTACGCCAGGTTGCTTCGGTCCTCGATCGATGGCAGTCTGTCTTGGCCTACTACTTTGTCTATGAGCTCCTGCAGTTTGGCTTGCATTTCTGGGTATTTGACCAGGAGCAGGAGGATCCACTGCATGATAGTTGAAATTGTGTCCTGACCTGCTCCAATAAGATCCGTGACGGTTGCTTCAACAAACTCTTTTGTCAGCCCACTATTCCCTCCGTGTTCGATCTCGTTGATGATGGCATCGCTCATGTCCCGGGTCACATCAGGGTTGAAGGACTCCCTGTGCTGCACCACTTTGTCTTTCACGAAGGAGAAAAACTCCTCATTGAGGCTTTTGAAGTTTTCATAGACACTGCGGACTGGGTTAGGAAAGGACTGAAGCCAGGGCATGACATCAACCAAACTACCTGCTCCTACCGTCTCCCCAAACTTGTCCAACTTTTTTATCATGTTTCTGAACTCCAGGTCTTCGTGTCTGTATCGCCTCCCAAAGCAGAGAGCACACATGACATTAGCAGCAGCTACTGTAAATTCATGAGCAGGGTTAAAATACCGTCCATCAGTGCTGTAGCGCAGAAATGCCTGCACCAATTCCATGGCCTCGGCTGTAATATTTTGCTCAAAGGCTGTTTTGGTCTGACAGTTTGCAGAGGAAAAGGCTCTGAGGCTGGACTGGGCTATTTTCCTGTGTGCTTTCCACTGTTTGCTGTAATTAGTAAAAGTCATACTCCTGCCTCCAGAGACCATCTGGAAAGAGACAAAGTTTGGTCTGCCTGCAAACTCTGTGCTGTGCTGTACGAGAGCCTCACGTATTGCCCTGTCTCCATTCAGAACCACAACGTCACTGCAGCCCAGCCGTATCTGGTACACGTTGCCGTATTTTTTGGCGAGCTTGGCGAAGGTGATGTGAGGCATCTGGCCCAGCTGCATGGCGTTGCCCACCACCGGCCAGGCGAAGGGTCCAGGCAGTCTTTTCTTGAGCCTGAAGTTCCTGACCCACAGACAGGCTTCCAGGCAGAAGAGGAACACTAAGGAGGCGACGAGGGCAGGCTGGACCTGTCCACTCCATTCCCTGATGATGCTACTGCCCTTCACACCAAACTCTGAGTCAACTGCCATGGTGACAATTTCTTTACACACTTGTTCCTAAAAAAAACAAAAAAATACAATTTCTTCAACAAAGATAGTTTAAAAAAATCTATATATCCTAAATGAAAAATACCTATGATATGTCAATCAAATGCCAGTGAGGTCATAGTGGTCAAAACCTCAGAAAACTGATAAAATAAGTGAGTAAGATGAAGTTCTTCAGTCTCTTCATCAAGATTTAAGACTTAAGTGTCTGCTTTTTGCTCCACTCCAGCATCTTATATGTTTTGCAGTGGGTGGGCAGGGCTCATGGTAACTTTCATACTCCTCCCATTGTGGTAGCCCTGCAGACCCCACTGAATCATCTCCCTGTTGCCGCGCGCTGTCGGAGGCGCGCGCTTGACAGCGTGAGTGTGCAGTGTGAAAGAACGCAGAGAAAAAAGAGTCACATACTGGTGACCGGTTTAGTACGAAACTTGTGGAGCCAATTTGTTTGACTAATTGGAGGACTGGCAGAGTTTGCACGTTTTAAAGTGTATCTTTCTAACATGATTTATTTGCTGGCTGCAGAGGACTCAGCGGGCGAATAAAAAAAAACAGTTTGCACACGGTTTGTCCAACTCATCGCTGAGTTTAAACTGTAATTACATTTGTAAACTGTGTAATTATTCTGTTACGTGACATAATTTACTTAATTAGTAAATTAGCTCGTATTTTGATCTGCTTAAAACTAACTGCATGCGTAAGCAGCCAAGGAGAATTTAAATATATGTCATATATGCAGCAGCGTGTCTTAAATTATACGCTTAAATGTTTGGTCTATATATAGCGATTGATTCCGCTATTTCAAAAGCCTATTTTGTCATTTAAGTCCTTCTGATTCTTTGTCCATAAGTCCCGCAGGTTCAGTGTTAGTTTGTTGTAAAAATGTAATGAGATTCGAATATAAAGTTGAGAGAAGTTGCGCAGCACGCATGCAGCCCAACTTCAGGACTCTCAGTCGATCGCGTCTTATGCTGGTCTTCAACATTTTATATTTTTTCCAAAGCTTCATCGCTAAACAATACATATTAAATTCACTGTTTGATTAACATGAAACTGATAACGATTTAAAGGTTCACACTTGCAGTTTATACAAAAGAAAGCCCACAGCCTAATAGCAGATTATCAATATGAGCCCATCCATATTGAAATATTACAATTGCATTTTTCTTTTTTCTTTCTTTTAATCAGACTGTTTTTTTCACCTCAGCCTCTTGACA